AGTGTTAGAGGATGGCTCCTCCCGTGGTTTGGAGGGGAACAGGTTGCACACGCAGCGAAGCGAACTGCAGAGTGAGTTGTGTGCCTGCATCTTGAGTCTGAGCCGATGCCATGGCGGCAAGGTCGACGGTAGGCAAAGACTGGAGAGTGAGGTTGACGCGTGAGAGAGCGTCGGCGAGGGGATTGTCGACACCTGAGACATGACGTATGTCAGCAGTGCACTGCGTGACAAAGTCTAGGTGTCTTGTTTCCCGTGGTGAATATTCGTCGCAAGTAGAACTGAAGGCGAAGATGTGGGGCTTTTGGTCAGTGTAGACCGTGAAAGCTCAGCCTTCGAGTGCGTGGCGGAATTGACGAATGACTGGGTAAATGGCGAGCAGTTCTCTGCCAAACGTGATCTATCGGGATTCCGCTGGCTGCAGGCGACTGGAGAAGAACCCAAAGCTTCGCCATCGTGCATCAACGTGTTGTTGGAGGACGGCTCCTACCGCGAGGTCTGAGGCATCTGCCGTGATATAAAGGAGTGCAGTCGATTCGGAATGAGGGTTATGTTGGAGATAGCATCCTTGAGCTCGGCGAAGGCTGTCTGTGTTGTGTCACGGAAAGCGAACTTACATTCATTCCATCTGAGTAGGTCAGCTGGTGGCTGTATGAGCTGAGCGCAGCGCTGTATGAAGCGTTGATAGTAGCTAACCAAAGCACAACATCGACGGAGGTGCTTGAACGAGGTCGGAGTTGGGAAATCCTTAATAGCTTGGATATTATCGGGAAGGACTTTGATACCAGACGATTAAACGAGGTGGCATAGGAATTCTACCGTTGAGCTGCCGAGTTCGCATTTAGTCGGATTGACCGTGACACCGTGTTGGGTCAAGTGCTGGAGAATAGTTCGAAGGTGTTTGAGGTGCACTTGTTCCGATGATCTGGCTACTAAAATATCATCGAGGTAGGAATAAGCAAAGTCTAGGTCACGAGTGACATGGTGGATGAAGGGTTGGAAGGTTTGTGCAGCGTTGCACAGTCCAAACGGCATTCGTAAAAATGCAAACATGCCGAAAGGAGTGATAACGGCTGTTTTAGGAATGTAATTTTCTTCTACAGGTATCTGGTGATAGGCGCGAACCAGAAAGATCTTGCTGAAGATCGTCTTAACTGTGAGGCATGCAGTATGGTCCTGCATGTGTGGGATGGGAAACCTATCTGAGACGGTTAGCCGATTGAGAGCGCAGTAAGCACCGCAACGGCGCCAGTCACCAGATTTCTTGGGGACCACCTGCAACGGAGAGGACCGAGGGCTGTAGGAAGGGAGGATTATTCCAAGTTCGAGCATGTGTTCAAACACCGCTCTATCTATCTTAAGTTTCGCGGGCGATAGTCGGCGTGGACGGCATGAGACGGGTGGGCCATTCGTCCGTATGTGGTGCGCGCCTTGGCATACCACGGGCAAAGACGCCTTGAGTGGCTAAACGTGCTTGAAATACTGGGAAAAGAGGTGGGCGTAGTCTGGCGAGGTCTGGGGAAAGGCGTAGACCGGTGTTATGTGATATGAGCGGTGCTGCCACGTAACCTGAGTTTCGTTGCAGTGTCCACTATCATCTAGCGTTTCGTATCGGCCAAGTGGTCGAAATGCCTGAGAAAGTCAATGCCGATGCTGGCAAAGGGGTATGCAGCGACGGTGAATACCCAGCAGAATGTGCGCCGAAGACCTAGGTCCAGGGTAAGCGACCGATGACCGTAGGTGGCTATTGGTGTACCATTGGCAGCATACAAGCTTGTCGACGAAGAAGCGGTAGGCTCACCTGGCGTAGGGGGAATAACACTGACATCCGCCCGGTATCAACTAAGAACTGGGTCTCGGAATCATAATCCCTAATGTAGATGAAACGACTTTGGGCTTTGTCGACACCGTTAGTTGCCATTAGGGGCCGGCCTGAAAGTTTCCTTGCTTCGTGGCGGAACTACATTGTTGCTCGCACTTACGGGCTTTGTTACCAAAACGCGAGTGGTAAAAGCAAAGAACTGAATTGTTACGCATCGTGCGACAGGGTGGTGAGCTAGAACGACTGCGCTGCTTACGGTCTAGGGAGTTTCTCGGTCTGGCGTTGTAGTGAAGCTATTTACCATTATAAAGCGTCGATTGCTGACGGATCACTAGTCGTGCGTGTAGCTGGGGCCGCGACGGGGCTAAGTCGAGTGAATGTGCTAGATTCGTTCGTCGGCTGATGTTCGATGACAAGGTTGACTAGTTCTGCAACTGCTGCGAGAGGCAGGGTGCTTGCCACGGCGAGGATGGGCTGTGTGTTTTCTGGGAGACGTTGCATCCACATTTTGCGGAGAATCCCAGCGTCCATGCTGGAGGTGCCTAGGAGCTGTTACATCTGTCGCAACAAGGCTGAAGGCATCCTGTCCTCTAGCTGCAGATCCCTAAACAGTTGCTGTAGTTGAACCTTGTCGAAGGGCGTGATTCGCTGGATGATCTCCAGCCTTAAAGTCTCATATTTCGCATCGGGATGGGGCAAACTATGAAGTCTCTCATCTGGGAGGATACACTTTGCGGAACCGGAGACATAAGTTGGTGATATTAAGCATTATCAGAAGAAATTATACAACGGTAAAAAGTGGATTCTAAATGCGCAAACCATAACAACGGGTCATTCTCCCAAAAAGGTGAGATGACTAGCTCTACGGCACTAACCACGTACATAGATGATTGATCATCATAACTATTCATCGTGAGTAATGAATAAGTATATGCGACTGACAAGAAAACAAAACGATAGCGAGTAACGAATCAAGAAGTCACTGGAACGAGCTCACCAGAATGAAAATTCAAAATGGCAGACGGCGTGTTCTGGACCGGGGTCACCAATTGTTGGGTGGCGCCTGGGATACTAGTCGGTAATCAATGACACGTAAGAGACGTGGCAAATACGGGACAGTATAGAAGTTGGAGGCGACTGAACCCAACGTGTATTGTGCAGGCTACAAAAATAGGAAACGAATCAACCAGAGCGAGAAACGGTGGTGCAAGATACTCACCAAAGCAATTTGTGTCAGCGGAAGTGCCGCCAGTAAAACAAATGGACTTTTTGAAGGTTAAAACAACGGTAAGATCAAATGATGCGAAACACTGAAGAGCGTGTTTTCCGGTGCACTACAACCACTTATTTTTACGTTGATGAGCAAGTATGCCAGTAATTGAAGGAAACGCACAGGGTATCATCAATATCAGGGCTTATTGCAAGCCGTGATGTAGAAATTGGAGCGTATCACAATACCGCTGATCAAACGGAAGCTATGGATTCAGTATGTGGACGACATGTTTGCCATCATCAAACGGGATTCCAAGCAAAATATGCGTGAGTTACTCAACAGCACATTAGAGGATATCAAGTTTACCACTGAACTAGAGAAGGACAACGAATTACCATTCTTGGATCTACTGGTTCACAGGAATACTGCTGGAAAAATTCGAACATGTGTAAACCAGAAGATCTACACTGATCAAATATTAAACTACCATAGCAACAATCCATTGAACCACAAGGAAAGCTGCATCTTTTTCAGAAGGGCCGAAACACTGCGGCGCGATAGAATTGAGGAGGAAGGAAGAGAACCATCTAGAACAAGTATTATAAAACAACGGGTAGCTTAGGACTTCCATAAGCCTGAAGAAAAGAGTGCCTCAACAATAGAGAGAACAGGTAGTTAAACGAGTAGTACTTCCTTAGATTAAGAACGTGTCTGAAATAACAGCGAGATTGTTACGACCACTTCGAAGCTTGATAGCCTACAAACCAGATAGTACTTCGAGAAGATTTTTCTCAAGACTGAAAGACAAAATAAAACAAGGTAGTCAGAATGATGTCATCTACAAGATAAACTGCGAAGAATGTGACAAACGCTGCACCGGACAAACTGGAAAGTTACTTTCAACGCGGATCAATGAACAAAAAATGACCATACTGAAACACGATGCACATTCCTTAGTTTCCATGCAGGAGGAATAAAAAGGCCACTCCTTTGACCTAGAAAACGTAAAGATCCCAGCCCGTGGAAATTCGAAGCAAGCTAGATAATTCTTGAAAGTATGGTATTCTACAGGTAATTCAATCAATTGACGCGTCAAACTAGATGCTATATACGCAGCACTACGGATGAAAGGTCGTCAAATTAATAAACTAACTTTAACGAAACAGAACACAGGACAAACAAGTTAAACAATGACGTCAATCGAAGATGCGGGAGCCCTAAAGCTACGAGGCATGAGGCAGAGAGCTCAATTTCGGCGGTCATGTGTGTGTTGAGCAATCCAAACTGACTGACGGCTCGTCCGCCTAGACGATCGATCACTCACACTCTGAGGCTTTGCTTCGAATCGCGCCTATCCGTCCCGCTACATAAAAGAGTACTTACGATGTCACCTCGAGTGGTGACAGAACGTTTGCAGCAAAACTGATGTGCTCAGCGAACACTACCACCACCAAGTGAACAATTTGGGTTACTGATATTTTCCCCTACATCACAAATCTACTTTGAAAAAAATCATATTCTAGACGGACTGATTTTAGGTCTCACGAAATGTGAATCCTGTGAGCTCAAACGTGCAAACTCCAGATGGCTAAATCTAACGGCGGTTCATATTAGTCGTTCGATTTGTGTCTTGTTTGCAAATAATATACCAAACTCAGCGGAAAAAGCTGTAATTTAACAATGTGTAAATTGAAGTGCGAGCTAGGGCAGATTATAGTGAATTGAGCAGTCTGGGTCGAACCGCAAGTGTACTTCGAGGCACAGAAACATGGCTGACAGAGGAACGGCGTTAAAGTTGGACCCTATAACCGTATGATATTGGATAGTTCGATAAAACTAGGGCTGCCTAGTATGCTTTGCGTCTCATAATCAGTGACGCAACGCCAATGGTTGACTAGAGGACGTTAATAGCTTGCTATCAAGCCATGTACAGTTTAAAACCACTATTCCATTTGCTGTGTATTGCAGGTTCGACTACAGCCTCGGAAAGTTGGAAGTCAGAAGTACCGGATCAATGCCGTGGACAACGTCGCTGACGTCGTCATGCGGGCTTGGATTCTGTGCGTTGATGTTCGGCCTCCAGAGGTGACAAAATCCTTCAGCATCAAACTTCCGCTAGTTAACGCACAGAACGCGGAAGAGAAATGTCACAAGCGCATCGCATACACCAATTCTCAGCCACTCGCCAAAAAGTTACACCTACATACAGATCGACCGGATTTGTTGCGGTTTAAAGTAAGTCCAATTAGATCTCTCTGTAGATCATCAACTAACACAGACATTATCATGGGAACTTTTGCCATTAACACTGCACGGCTAAGTGTGGTCTCCGTTTGTTTAAACTATGTATAAGAACGTCGCGATGCCCAGTAATTGTAAAGCGAATTATAATAAGCAATGTTTCGCAACGGGTAAAAGGTGATGGCTTAACAATTCCCATAAAATGACCAAAGTGAGGGTTATAAAAACCTAAGGTAAGAAAGTGACGGGAAAATGGGAAAATTCAGAGTGAAAACGATTCACTAGGCTATGTACATGAACATTGATGCAGGTTTCATCACCGCTACTTTGCAGGGAGGGATGGTGAGCACAGAATTTGGATCGAGTTATTCCCTTTCCGACTGAAACGGGTTATATCAGGTAGTGCAAATAAGCTAGCATGTTGGGGCAAAAATGGCGTGAGTTGGAACGGTGTTCCATGTTCGGGACCCTCGGAGGGGGAAGAACGTTTGTCGACTGTGGTGCGTGGGCAGTTCGAGCTGGTGGCTTTACAGGTTAGTATTTTAGCTCAGCTGAAACAATTCGCGACAGGTGCGATCTTTGGTTCGTCATTATTCAGTAAACCAAGATGAAATCCTTTATCTGACGTCGATATTAACCGCTGTACCATCCTAACGCCTGCAGTCTGCGTTAGAAGGGAGGTGGAACAAGACTCTAACGAGTTTGGTCTCTCCATGTTGTGGAGCTTCAAGTGTGTTAACACCGCGCATGCTCCAGGGACACAAGAATTGGATCGCGTATATCATATGAGACCTAATGTAGGCGTTCAGGATTTGAGAACCTTCCCTAAGCGTACAAGATGCTGATCAGCTCTTCTTGACGTCGTAGCGGTCTGTTCTGAACAGCCAAGGTCATCCTACACGATTAATTCGAGATTGCTTTCCTAAGAAGAACGTTGCAACTGTTGGCTCCCAAGTCGATATTTATAGGTGCGCTGATAGCGTATGCTCACAAGTTTGCATTTCGCCAAAATGAACAGTAGCCGGTTTCCGGATAACCACGTATATGCCCTGTCGAGATCGCTCTGCAGTGCTGCATGATCATCCTCTGTATTGATGTCATGCCAGATTTTTGCATCGTCTTCAAATAAAACCTACAAATTGGAGTACCCTAGCAAAGTCGTTGATGAATACTAGGAATACACGTGGTCCAAATACCAATCCTTAGGATACACTGCGCTAGATGTTAAGTGGATGGGAAATGGAACTGCGACGTGGCAACACAGACGCATGTCTACTAGCTCCCTATTTTCAGTATTCCGTATTCTCACAGGTGACGCTGAATGAAGAAGTTGCTTATCCAACCCAACACAGGATCGCTGATTCCATAGCTTCGAAGCTTGTGAAAGTGAATACGGTGGTCAAGGCGGTAGAACGCTTAGGAGAATTCCATATATATATATATATATATATATATATATATATATATATATATATATATATATATATACCCCACACGACCCATAGTACAATCGACATAGTGCCAAAATATGTGGAAAAAACAATAAACATACAACGATGGAGGGGGAAAAGACCGGTGTTTATGGGAACTGTGAGTAATTACAAGTCCGCCATTGTGCACGATTTCTTGCCATATCCGAAAGTCTTTCCAACCATGTGTGTTCCGGACCCTTCACGCTCCAGCCAAGGAGCCGAGAGCGCCCGACCACGGCTACTTTGACGTTAGCTCCTTCATACTCCTGGCCCAATTCATATGCTGGCCACCTTGCTTTCGCTTCCAGCCGACTTCTGCGTGCGCGAAGAGGGCACGGTGAGGTAAGCGATGAGTAGGCATGCGAAGAACTTGCCCAAGTCACTGAAGTCTGCGCAGAGAAATAATACTGCTAAGTAGCTGGAAAAGTCTGTTTGGTCTGAAAATCCTTTGTCGAATATATTCATTCCAAGTGTGTTGATGTTATCGTACACCAGAAATGCTCCAAAGGCAACGGTGACGAAAAAGAGACAGTCTCTTTACATCCTTTGCGCGAACAGGCCAAGTCTCGCAGCCATAGAGGAGAACCGCTCTCACTGTGGTAATGTAAACTCGGCCCTTCAGAAATAGACTCAGATCACCTCGAAGCCAGAGGTGGCAGAGATTGGCAAAAGCAACCCGAGCCTTGAAGAAGCGCAAGGAAATCTCATCCGTTAAACCATTAGCACTGAGGCAGCTTCCGAGGTAACGGAACTTGTCCACCACTTCCAGTGAATGAGCTAGAAGAGTGAGGTTAGGAGCAGCGCCTAGCCAGTCCTTCAGGAGAACCCTGCATTTCGATGATGCAAAGGTCATCCCAAAGTGAGAGACAGATATCCCCAACCTACACAGGACATTTTGGGCGGCCTGTGAAGTGGTGCAGATTACGGTGGTCATCTGCATACTCCAAATCCCGAAGTCGGTCACTCGGAAGAAACCAGACGCCCTGGGTTCGCAGTTCTCCAGAACATTCTCCAAGATTTCGTTTGTAGAGAAATTGAACAAGAAGGGGATGCTGGGCAACTTTGTCTCAGGCCACCGGTGATACCAAAGGGGGGCAAAAATCCGCCGTACACCCGCACTCGGCCCGAGAGTCGATGACTTGAAGTAAGGTGACATACTTCTCGGGCACTCTTCTTCTCAGTAGACAACTCCAGAGAGCAGCTCTGTCGACTGAGTCCAACACTGCTAGAATGTCTAAAAAGACAACGATGCTTAGCTGGTCAAATGTTGGACGATACTCGAGTATTTGGTAGAGTATAAAGATGTGATCGATGCAACTCCGACCTCAGCGGAACGCAGCTTGCGCTTCACGTATGCTCTGCTCGTGTACCAGGTTGTCTCTTTAGAAGCAGAGCTGCGAGCACTTTGGAAGTGACACAGATGAGACTAATCCCTCTGTGGTTGGCGTAGTTAGTTCGGGTACCTTTTTTGAAGACTGGCACGATATCCGCTAGGCTCCAATCAAATAGGTTAGCTTCAGTGACCCAGGTCACTTGGAGAAGTTAACACTTGAACAAGTGATGGGCCGCCATCTTTGAAAAGAGCCGGAAAGAGTTCATCTGCGCCAGGGGCTATGTAGTGCTTTAAGAGGCAAAGCTCGTGGGCAACCTCAGCCTCGGATGGTGATGAAGCGTCTACATACCAGAGAGCACTCTGGACTCCAGAATGGGGGCACAATGGTGCCGCTGGCCAATTAAACTGCTGCTCAAAATGCTCGGCCAAACGCTCGAGTTGGCGTTTTCGACAGTGGATTGGTTTTGCATAAAACTTTGCTTACAGTCGGCTTTTTGCCGCCAGTAGATCAGGTCAGAAGGAAAAGCTTACGGAAATTCCCCAAGTGGCCGCTTACTCAATCTCAATGATTTGTTGCGTCCACCAGACTTCCCGGAGGAGCTGTTTGAGCTTAGCGTCAGTAGTCTTGCGGAGTGAATGGCATTTAGCGCTAGCAGGAATTGCTCGACGGGCTGCGAGAAGTTGGAGGGATCGTACAGAGATCCAGTTGCTGACAGGACTACTGGTGAAGTCACAGACCAGGGTTGCAGAGTTGCACATGGCGCCGCGGATGTATCCAGTGTGTTACAGTGTCTGTGCATGAGGCAGTGTGCCTCACGCTGAAGTTGATGTTGCATCCATGATACTTCTTCACCGCAGTTGGGCTAAAGCAACTTACAGTTAATCTAGGTTTTTTTTACACTGGATGAAAGTCATTCATCTGTATGTGGTTTGTTCAATTCCGCTACTCTGCTGCATATTCCGTGTCAACTTTTCGCATTTGCTTCCTCTTAAATTCTATGTTAATTGTTTGATGTCCCCGGTGTGGCTGCGCTTGATGTGAATGTTGACAAGGTTTTATCTGTTTAACAACCTCCACCTCGATTACTGGCTCCAGGAGACCGTGAATCGTTGCTGTGGGGACGGGGTGCACAGTCTCCGTGGCCTTACTGAGCTCAAAAAGTGGTTCCATCCAGTGAAGAGCGGACTACGGCCCAGCCACCGCCTTGTGTACGTCTGCTACGCATGATTCCCTACATAGATAGACAGGAATGCTGATGCTGGATAAGTTGAAGGAGTGTGGGTCGGCTCGCATGATGAAACGTGCCTCCCATCCACGCCTCCCGGTCTTATTCCTTCGGGTTTACACTGAATATGGGGGTGTGTAGATGGAGCTGTGAGTGGTGCAGCGCAAGCCACCCAAGGCCTCTTTGTAGACGCAGACGTCTTGTGGCCATTTTATGGAGGCCACAGTGACAGGCGAATCCGGAACCGGCTGCTGCCAACCATGCATGAGACAGCCTTCAGCCGTGAGGCCAAGACATCCTGAAATGTGTAGGGAACGTTAGGGGCCGAAAGCTTAGCTACGTCAAGTCGTTTCTGACGACGCTGTTGGAGCTACCATAACGTAGCGCAAGTTTGGCACACAGCAGCGCGTGATGCAAAGTGAGATAGGTACTCCAGGTTGATTTGCAATCTTGTATGCTAACCCGACAGCGAAAGCTAATGGCGATGTGGTCAATTCGTGTCCACGGTTGGCCAAGTGATGGGGGGTCTCCAGGTGGCGCGTTGGCGCCAGGATCCCCGAAAGCTAGTGCTCGACAGAAAGTGGCCGTGATCGGCGCAAAGTTGAAGTAATAGATCACCGTTGTCAGTTCTGCGAGTGCTGACCACGGAGTTCATGTTCGTCAACTCCAAGTCTACAGACCTGCGTGTTCAAGTCCCCGGCGAGCATCACGATGTCGGTACGGCGCTTTTTACGGAGAAGGTCGGCCAGTTGACCATAGAACTCATCCTTAACTGACTCCGGGCTGCAATCTGTGGGAGCATACGTTGCGACAATGAATAGATAGTGTCTGCTGGTTTCGCGTCTGAACAGTCGCACTAAGGTTGCAAGTCGGATCTCGCATAGTCGACTGTTAACAGGCATCCAGTCTGGTAGCGCGGCATCAGCAAGTGTGCTCAACGCAATCCATACGCCAGAATTACCAGCTGGTTGGGCGGTAGAGTCTCCAGATAGGCGCAATATGAAAACGCCAGTGGAATTCGCAGACGGTGAAACTAGTCACAGTGTTGTGCTAGAGTCCTGTAAATGGGTCTCGTTGAGACAGTAGACATCAATGGCCGTAGTTGCTAGAGTGCGAGCAAGGGCTGTCTGTGATCCAATCTGCATCATCCTCCGAACATTGAAGGTTGCCAGCTTGGAATTGGAACGGGGCGCTAGAAATGGCTTGTCAGCACGACTTGGCGCATCCTCGGACGTAGGCTCCTGATGCGTATAGCGAAAACGTTCACCCAAGGTGACACGGTGTTGTGAACACGAAAACGAAACTGGAAGACCAACAATGGGGGAGGGGGTTGAACAAACGTGGAATAAAGTAACTAAACGGTGGTGCGGTAAAACGTGGTTTGGCAGGTTCAGTCACCAGCACCTCGGCCGATGAGAGCAGATAGAGCGAGAGCGAGCGAAGAATTGTTGAGACATGGATACATAGGTTGTGTGGGCATGGTGCTACCTGGTTGCCCAGGCAGAGGATAGGGCTAAATTAGAGGACCCCACCCGGAGCCTTGGGTCATAAAGACCTAAGCAGCAAGGGAGCGGGACGATTGACGTCTACCGCGAACGTTGGGAGCCGGCTATCTAGGTGAACGGCTTTCGAGTAGAGGCAAACTACTTAGGGCGCCCAAAGAGCCTCAGTGAAGCAGCAGAGGTCAGTATTACCTAAACTACCGAATTCGCCGCGAAGCACGTAGGCCATTGACAGCCGGGTGGCTCATACGCCTTCATAGAAACCGGTGGCCATCAAAGTTGTTCATTCGCCCTCCGTTAAGTACTCACTTCTGTGACCAGAAGTGAGTGGTCAGTGACCCTATAGCCGGTCACATTGGCTTTGACACAGCGTCCTGCGAGCTCTTGTGGTATTTAATGATGAACAATGTGACCAGCCCAGAATCCCCCACGTTTTAGGACACTGCCGCTGATTATCCGCGAGCGCCTATTCATCACGCCTGCGAACAGACGAGACATATTCATAGGTACATTCACAAAGAAGGCGTTCCCCGATCCGCAACCTAAGGACACGCCCGGTAGCGTACAGCTTCACCGAACCAAATAGTAGTCAACTCACTCCCGGGATGATGACACAGGCTTCCGACTTGTTTCTGCTGTTGTCACGGGCGTAGAAAATGTAACCAAAGTGCAGCGTTTCATGATCGGTACGGCCAAGCAGCGAATCTACAATCATGGTATTGATCATTTGTTCTTCGTTAGTAAGCACAGATGGTTTGTCACCCTTGCTGAATTGCGTGGGAAAGCTGACATGGTTGTAAAGGTACAGTTCTGATTGAAGTGCTAGCTCAGTGATATCAACTGGAGGATGACATCATCCAGGCACCTAAAGGTAACGTTGGAAAGTCATCGAACATATTTGGACCAAGGTCGGTGGAGACAGACATGTGCAATTTTCGTGCGCCGCCGTTTGAAGTGGTAAAGCTAGTTGTTTATGTGCAGGCAGATGACAAGACTGTATGAATCCGGGGGCCCATGTTATGGCCATCGCGCTAATTATACACTGAGTCACTTCGTAGTGCAATTCATATATGTGAATAAAATAATAGAACGTGAAGAAACTGTGTGTGAAACACTGGTCTCTGGCACAATTTCAACTTATGTACTATCTACTCAAAGCGTATGCCTCAAAAGCATTTGCAATTACGAATATGTAAAGTTAGAGATATTGTGAGTAGCATATAACCAAATGGTTCGATTAACAGCGGGAGTCGAGAGGCAATCGGCTGGTTAGTAAGCGAAGAAATCAGTTACGCTCAATACGAATAACCTTTCAGTGGGAAATAATGAGGAATTCATCGTCTCACGTGGCGTGTAGGCGAAAATTACGAACACCTTTGAGTCGAGAAACAGATCACTTAAAAGGGTACTATTCGGTCGACTGGGTTGGAATTCGGCGGTCTCAGCAAGCAAAGCGAAAACATCAAATTACAACCGTCGCTCAGATTAGTGTAATGAATTTAGGCTCCTGAAACTTATCATAGAGGCAGAGAGCGTTCCATGGAACAAACTATCAAGGCGACTGATCTAACTGAATCTGATGCGAAACCAGGTGCACGGAATCCAAATTCAAAATTAGTGTTTATCTCCCGGGAGAGGTAAGCGCACTCCAGACACGCGAGGGCTACCGCCTCTGAACAGCTGATGGTTGTAAGTCGCGAAAGGGAAGTGGTGTTGCACATAACCTGGTGAGTGGCCAAGTTGTGGGCGACGGTAATCGCTAGACAGTAATACAAAGACTGTCAGCAGCGAAATGGTGAGTTCACACAGTTTAGTATATCAACCATTTTTTGCTTTAGACAGGATGCGATATCTCCAATTTGGGACGCAGACCTGATCCAACCTGCGTCAGGTAGCCACTAATCCAGAATAAAACAGATAAAAATCACCGGAACGAACGCGAAGCGAGGATTAGGTGTCCATACATAGCAGCCAAACTCTAACCATGGTGTAAAACTCTAATGGGGAAACATGTGACCCCAGTGATAGTAAGGAAATAAAATCCAGCATTCAGTTCCGAGCATAAAAGTGCGGTGAATCCAGTTGCCACGACTTACACCGCAATGGCAAGAAAAAACAACGGCAAAATAGTGGGGTGGAATGCAAATATAATATAGAGAAAATGGAACACGAATTGACAACCGGATGCAGGAAACCGAATGTAGGAGCACCACTGGCTGCGCAGCTGCGCCATATGTGAAAGGGTCGCCAATTGATGGTGTGGACCAGCTCGCGGTCCTCATCTAAGCGTACGGCAAGTACCAGCCTGACCAAGTCTCTGCCATTTTCTTCATGCCACTTTGCCAAGTTATAGACTAGCCACCTAGCGGTTTCACCCAAGTTGGTACAGCCATGGCGTATAATGCACGACGAGGAAACCGATCAACAGTTGCAGTTAAGCTCACGTCACCAACATGTGGGACCCCGTAAGATGGGTTATGTTGGTTAGGGATTGATCTCGTTCCTCTCCAAGCCGTGCTCTGCCTGTTTACACTCGCTCCACGGTGTATCCGAGAAGGTTTGAACGGAACATACCTTCCTGAGAAGAGCTGTGAAAAGCAGAACGACTTCCGTTTAAAGGGTGCAATACAGCACAGATGAGAGAATTTTGGCTAATTGGTGACAATAATGTTACTGACTGGTGAATGTAGGTTCAGCTCTTTTTAATGTTTCGGATCTGTCAGAAGCAGAAGTGTAGCGCAGTCGAACGGTCCTTGTAAACCCGTGTTGAACGCACTGTGGCGAAAAGCCAGAACATGACGCACAAAGCGGTGAGGTCTAATTTTATTGTCTAAGATTCTGTAAAACCTCGTGACGCACCAGAAGGCTTCTTGCCAAGAACCAGCTGGCTGACCACAGAATAGCTCATTCGGCGTTCTCATCAGACGTGAGCAACACTCCGCAAGCACCGGTGGTCAAACATGGTAAGGCGTTTAATGTTCTCACTACGAACCTATCATACATGTCTATGAAGTAGTGTTTCCTCCCATGCTCACCGGGCTGATGGAGATGAAGAACCACATAGCATGCGGTTCTTCCGCTCCGTGTATTAGTTGTTTTTGACCGATAATCGTAATAATCACAGTGGCCATCTCCGCCACAAAATATGATGCACCAGGAGTAAGCTTCCTGTAAAATTTAAGTGTAGAAGTATTGCAAATTAGCGACCGAGATAATACATGCTTTTTATACTATTGTAGGAAACTGAACATCTAGTGGACGCCGGAGCTACAGTACAGTTGGGACTTCGATTCATTCCTCAAGCATCACCGGGCGAGCAACAGATTTACGTTTTCATCAAAGACGAAAAAAATGTGGTTCTGGAAACGTTCGCCATCGAAACACAATACGAGTGATTGACTGTAATCAACAATTGTGTTTGTTTACTGCCATTCATGTTAGCCATAAAGTTTGGTCTCGTTATGTTCTTCTATTGTAGACGAAACAAGTTGCAGTGAATTAACGATACTTCGACGCAGACCGTAGAATCTCAACTGCTGAACGAGATATGGTTGTTAGTTGATTAAATGAGGGACATCCAACAAGCATTTCAGAAACAAGCGACGACATCACAGTGAGATGTGCTATTTCAGAGGTTGATCCAATTGGGACGGACACTTTAAGCATGGAAGAAACAACAACAGAGAAGAAATACTATTGTACTACTGGGTTTTCTGTACCGGAGGGCGCAAAGTCGAGAACAGAATGATAAGGGTTTCGTTTCATGGAGGACGTTACATTAAAAGTACATATTAGCTGAAGATGAGAAACACATCCGCTACTGCACCGCAATACAAAAAATATGATATATGGAGAAAGCAAAATAGTAAATAACAGAAAGAAATAAAAATAATGTAATGCTTGGCACCATACTATGCATCAAATTTCAAACCACGGTTTGAGAGGGAAGCTAAGACGAAAGGGGACAAATAAACTCATAACATAAAAGCCACTGAGGTCGATTTTTCGCCATGTCAACAAGCGTATCGAGCCAACCTCGTTCACTATCCTTGGGTCTCCAGCCTGGCACTCGGGAGAGACCAACCGATACTAAGTTTGAAGTAAGTGTTTTCATTCCGCTTGATCAAGTCGTCGGTTGGCCTCCCCTCCCTCGTCTTCCATCCACACGTCGGGCGGGCAAACAGTTCACACTGCGGGAATCGGTTATGGCATGCTCAACATGTGGTCCAGCCATCGGAGCTTGGTGCGTGATATAACGGCACTGACGGATTGACTCGCTCTTCCTGCAACAACTACACGACCCCGAACACGCTCATTCCTTACACGGTGTTCCCACCACACATGAGCTAAACTGCGAAGGCAGCGACGATGGAACGTAACCAACTTATTTACATCTGTCGTTCTGATAGATCAGGTTTCGTACCCGTACAGGAGGGTTGAAGGCACGACGGCATTTTAAACTTTGCCCTTCAGGGTAAAAGATATGTCGCGCCCGCGCCACAGGTGGTGGAGATAAGAGAAAGCGCCTCGAGCACTTGTCGTACGGTTTGTGGCGTCATCTTCGATGCTACGGGTGCTAACATAGCTGCTCAGATATTTGAATTTCTGGGCAACTTCAAACTGATTACCGCCAAGAGTCAGTTAAGAAGTAGGTCCCCGCCAATCTTGCAGAACTTTACATTTCAAGAACGCAAATCATAGCCGAAAACGAAGGACAGCCCGAGCTAAGTTAGCTAGCGCCACTTGGCATGTTAGGGTGCTGTCACAGATAAGGACGTAGTCCAAGTCAAGATGTCGATAACCTGGGAGCAGCTCCACACCTTCCAAGTCGTGTCCAATGAATGCAGTTTCCATGGCTTCCTCAAGGGCGAAGTTGCAAAAAAAGGGTGATAGCAGGCAACCTTGTCTCACACCGCTGGACCTAATGAAAAACAGCGACAGTTTGCAATAAACCCTCATACCGCCCGAACTAGGCGCCTAAAGGCTCATATGAAGTAATTATGAGGCACATCTCATCTGTGTAGACAGTCCTAAGGCGCATATCGATCCATCGGATCAAGGGCACGTCAGATGTCGCAAAACACGACTACGATGGGTCGTCAATAAGAATGGCGGTTTTCCAACAGTTGACGTAATGTGAGGATGTGGTCACTACATACTAGACTGTGACGATACCCCGCTCACTCTTAGCGAATCTGGCTTCAAGAGTCTCAGCCAGTCTATGGAAAACGATAGCTGGTCCTCCGTTTGTAGACAGCTGGCGGTCTATCTGTTCCTGTGGTTTTTTACAATGTCAACAGTCCGAAATCATGTTAGACTTCTGTGTGTGAAGATAGATGCAAGGGGAAAGTCCAAGGAGAACGGCGGTCGATGGCCCGCAAGGATGCTATTAACTCTGGCTGATTAAACTGTCTTTCAAAGTGTTCCACCTAACACCAAGCGTTTTGATAAGTTGTGGATTGGTTGCTCACTCGCGTGACATATAGTCTCGTTAACACCAGATCTCATACTGCCCGCCTTGCGTATTAGACGGAATAACTTCCGATAGTTACGAACGGTAACAGTTATTTCCGATCACGCATTGCTTCGTGCTAAGATTTGCATGCGTTTCGGAGGATCACGTAAGCGCGCTCTCTACCGATCGGACGTCGGAAATCTACAAAACCCTGCGATTTTAACCAGGTACCAAGCCTCACTGTCAACCTTGCTTGCCTCAACTATTGACGGTGATCTCGATTCGCAATGGGCGCATATCAAAGATGCTTTAGTTTCTGCCAGTATCGATACTTATGGAGTTACCCGTCACCCACCAAGGCATTGGATTTCCGCAGTCTCCTTGTCGTTGATGGACAAACGACGCTTGATCTCATCGGATTCCAGACACAGTGATGAACGCCAATTCTTTGGTCGAGAATTGCGCAAATGGACCGCGAAGCTTGGTGGTGTGAACGTCCTAGGGAGATGGAGCTTGCTAATCTCTCTGGTAATATCAGAAAACTCTTCCATCTCATTCGAGTCACCGGTGTTCGATCTGGTATAAGTGAAACAATATGCGATGAGGATGGCACCTTAATCACCAATCTTCAACGACGGTTGGAGCGATGGGCCGAACATTTTAGCTCGCAGATTTGTTGGCCCCCAGCTCCATCTGCTATCTTTGGCGCACGTGCTGGGGCCGAGTGGTCTAGCCCCACAGATCCACCCTCTTACCAGGAACTCGAGCAGGAGCTCCGGCACATGAAGCGCTATAAAGCTCCCGGCCTTGATGGTCTTCCTCCAGCGCTTCGCTGGTCCGAGAACTCACCGTTTTGTTCTCGAAAATTTGGTCGAAAGAGAAAGTGCCATCATCCTGGAGTGAATCGATAGTCGTCCCCATCTTCAAAAAGGGCCTGCGCACAATTTGCTCCAACTACAGAGGAATAAGTTTAGTCCGCGTCGTTTGCAAACTGCTGGTGTCCATCATACTTCACAGGCTATCCCAAACACGCGAATCGTTGCAACGAGAACAAGCCGGATTTCGTCCTGGTCGCGGCTGCATCGATCAAATCTTCACACTCCGCCAGATCCTCGAGCTCGGCCATGTGTATCAGAGGCCAACGATTGCTGTGTTCTTGGATATCCGTGCAGCCTTCGATTCTATCGATCGTAGGATACTGTGGCACTGCCTACTGAGGAATGGTGTCCACGAGAAGTCCGTCTCCATACTGCGCGCTCTATATAATCTGACCTCGGGCAGGGTTAGGGATTATGTCAAGCTTTCGCCTACCCTTGTGGTCTCCAGTGGAGTTCGACAAAGATGCCCTCTCTCCGTTCCTATTCAACTTTGCCATTGAGCATGCTCTAAAAACGCTCTGGGCGATTCGTTGAACGTTGGCGTTGAGCTCCTCCCAGGTAGTCGAGTTGCTGATTTGGATTATGCTGATGAGATCGTTTTGCTGGGTGACGATCCACATGTCGTCCAATTTGAACTAAACCGTTTGGCGATTGAAGCATCAAAGTATGGTATGTACCTATTGCCAACCAAATGCAAGGCACTCTTCCAAGACTAGCAGGTGCCTCTGCCTGCACTCACTCTTGGTGATGAAACACTAGAGGTTGTGGAGAGCTTTGTCTACTTGGGAAGTTGCATCACTGCTGGCGGGGCTGTTGGAGACGAGATTTCGATGCGCATCTCGAGAGCACGCCTCGCTTTTTCTAGGCTGAGGCCATTGTGGCCTCGCCAAGACATCTGTCTCTCCATCAAAGGGCGGGTCTATTGTGCAACTGTTCGTGCTGTACTGTTGTACGGATGCGAGACCTGGCTCATTAGTAAAGGTGACTTGCGCAGACTATCCGTTTTCGAACACCGCTGTCTGCGATCCATTGCCCGTGTGTGGTGGCGGCACCAAGTAAGCAATGTGGAAGTTAGACAGCGTGTCTTGGGACGTGGAAGCCACTCGCTCGAGGAGCTCGTCTCTGCATCAACTGCGGTGGTTGGGACACGTATTGCGCATGCCTGTCCAACGTTACCCGCGTCGTGCGTTGTTTGCGGTTGCTGGACAGGGCTAGAGAAGACGGTCTGGTGGACAGCCTACAACATGGAGAAGCCGCATGAAAAAGCCGACGAAACAGTTGGCCTTGGCCGGTTGTTGTCGACCAGCTGGTTGGGGTCTGATAGATGCGGATACTTGCTGGCTGAGGACCTTGGAAGCCATGTCTCAAGATCGATGTCAATGGCGGACGTGTGCATCGGTACGTTGCGGTGTCCCTTCTTCCTCCCCTTAAAAAGCAAACTGAAAAATGTCAAAAACTGTGAGTGGTAAACTAGACAAAAAAAGCTTTTGTTGTTGTTGCTCTTTCTTATTATTCATACTGCCTTCCTATTCAGCCATTATTCCGACGGCACAATATCTGTACCACAGATTGTATATATATATATATATATATATATATATATATATATATATATATATATATATGTTGCAAGTGTCCACACGTTGGCTCGTCCGTGTAAGCTGAATAATCCCGGCAAGTCACTGACTAGCGATTAACATGCTGATGTTGATGCTACATGTTCTGTTTCATATATTAGTCACAATAATGACTGTAGCTATATTTCCAGCTGAACATCGCTCATACTGAAGTTAGGATAAGTCAGCTATTATCGAGATAAGGTGCGGAAGAGCAAACGTTCCTTCGACAATTTAAATTAGAAATGACCAATCATGTAGATTGACTTAAAAGTAGATTAGTCCAACTATGGTGTTACGGTAGTGTGTAAATAAATATTTAATTGGAAAATAAATTCAGCACAACAACAATTGATTTGTTGCAAAGAATAGCTGCAACTCAGATGTATGCTGACCGTTTGTTAGTAAATTGTAAGTGGTAAAATTATGATGAGAAATCCAGTTCGCATGGGAATATCATACGTTCAGTTAACCACCTTATCTGCGCCATTTGCCGAGGCTCCTGATACCCAT